TAGAAGATGTTTAAATTTTATAATAGAGATTTATTCCTTGTATTATGGATTGTTGGAGGAGAAAAGGAATGCAGAAAGAGAAAATCAAAGGTATTACAATCATTATGGTTGTTGCAGTTTATTTAACATTGTTGAGTTGAAGAAGGAAACGAGGAAGATATCACTAAAATTGGATACATTTTCTGAGAATTACTAATAATAAAATACATTTTGTGAAAATTACTTTTTATTTTGACAGCATATAGCCATATACACGAAATAGACGAGCACAACATGATGGTATGATAGACTCATAAAATATTATGAAACTGAGGCAAAGTAAAGCAAACATCTTTGATATCCATCGATGAATTGGGCGGGAGAAAATATAGAAGTGATGGAGAGAATGTCACGTGGTAAAGGATGGTTTAAAAAGAATGATATATGGCATGTAGGGGATGTTTTTATTAAGAATATATATATATATATATATATATATATATATATATATATATATATATATATATATATATATATATATATATAAATCAGATAAATGTAATAAATAATAGAAATGATTTTGAGTTGAGAACATTTAGCAAAAATTCATGTTTTTAAATTATTAATATAACATTTTTGAATGGTAATAACATTTTTATTTTTAACATGTAAAATTATATCATAAATAAATATTTTAATCGAATCCAATTTTCGGAGGCAGAGCTGGGGATGGGAGGCTGGAAATTTCGAAAGGGAGAGGGATTGGAGAAATTTCGAGGGTGATGAAGAGGGTCGAGAGATGCAACTCCCATTCCATTTGCCTCTATTTAACTGATCAAATTTTCAGATCGGATCCATTTCATTTGCCTCTATTGATATCCTGATAAAATTTTCAGATCGGATCGAATCGAATCCATAATTTTCATGTGCATGTGTATCAATTAACATTGAGTCTAATAAAAGAAAAGGAATCCCATGGACATTTCTTTTTTCAGTTATTATCAAATCTAATAAAAGAAAAAGTAAATCGCATAAGCATTTCTTTTTCCAATAATATATGGATAACTAAGGAAAGACAAATAACATCAGTAGACGCTTCTAAAGAACCAAAGAAAACAGAATTGGATATTGGAAAGCATATTCGCTTTGGGAATTGATGTTGTTTGGGGTTCTTTAACCGTATATATTGACTCCTTGGTTTTATTTTATTTTCTAATTACAATTTTGTTTGTAGGATCATCTTTTTTCCCCTTTCTTTTTATAGTATGTTATTCCAAAATAACAAAATAAATAAATAAATAACCTCACAGTTGCCCAGCCCTATAAAATCTTGCTTTTTAGTTTAAAATATTCCTAATGTTATTTTATGACAATTTAAGGACAATCTATATATTTATCTAGTAAATTGACTTGTAAATTGTAATAAAGGCAAATGACATAAATACCTTACGAATTTTCTAGGGTTACTCGTTGAGTCCCTAAAGTTTTTGTCGGACTTTATGAGTCCCTAAAGTAGGATATGACCTGTTTTTTTAGCCTCTGTCAACTTGTAATAGTCAGTTTGGTGACCTTTATAGAAAAAAAACTCACATTGTGCCACTATAAAGCGAAAAAAATAAGTTTAAGGATCAATTCGTACAAAAAAAAAAAAACTCTCAATTTCTTCTAAAACAGATGCACACTCAATTTGTACCAACCTGAACCAACTCTCGTTAACATTTTATTCATCCATTATAGCCACCATAACCCACCATAATCACTATCGAATCAATATCACAACAACCCAATCCAAGCACCCTTATTCCTCCCCTTTTGTCTCATGAAATAAGTCACTACTATAGCACCCATAACCCACAAAAAACACTATAACCAATCACCTGCAAATCGAAGAAAAAAAGAGATTAACTCTCGTTTTCTCCGTGAACCTCATCAAACCCACACATCCTTCTCAACCTCGCATCCATCAAACCTGCAACTCGGAGGAAGAATGAGAGGTAGCTTGTACAATTTTGAATAGAGAAGAAGGAAGGAGGGGATCAATTCCTTGAAGAGCTGAAATCAAATCAAAGAAAATAGTGGAAGGGGGTTGTAACCGAGAATCAATTAGAAGGAGAAGAGGGTTGTGATCTTCGGTGAGTGTGTGTGACAATCGAGGGTGAAGACGAAAAGAAGAGCACCGGTCGATTTCTTGGGAGTGTACGAATTGAGTGGGAATCAACTTTAGAAGAAAATGAGAGTTTTTTTGGTACGAATTAATCCGCGAACTTATTTTTTTGGCTTTATAGGAGCATAATATGAGTTTTTTTTTTGTCTAAAAGGTCACAAAACCGGATATTATAGGTTGATAGGGACTAAAAGAGCAGGCCATATCCATGTTAGGGACACATAAAGCCCGAAAAAAAACTTTAAGGACTCAATGGGTAAACCCTAGAAAGTTCGTAGGGTATTTGTGTCATCTTCCCTTGTAATAACGATATATATTGATGAGGCGGGTTTATTTTTTTCAAATGATATAAAAACTAAATCCAACTCACTTAAGCAACCGCCCCTTTCTGACCATCTTCTTAGGTTTTTAAAGGGTGTTTGAGATTTCATTTTGAACCTTAAAATGACTTTTAGCTAAAAAGATTTATTGACTTATGGTAGTAAGAAAATTATTTATTTTTTTTAAGTTTATGGATTAACTTTTATGGTGAGAAAATCAATAGGTCAATAAGTTAAAAAGTGATTGTATTAAATTATATATGTTTTAAGGAGATTTTGACTTTTACAACTCAAAAAGTTATAGAGTTTTGAAAAATTAGAAATCCTAAATTATTAAAATCTCATTTTGAAAGGCTTATAATACATTATTTTAAAAGTCTTTATTACATGTCAAACATATTTGTTAACTTATTAACTTTTCAAAACGTCAATAAGTCAATAAGTTGTTTTTAAATGAAACCTCAAACACCCCCTTAATAAAAAAGACCACAACATGTTCACCTCCCATAGCAATTCAACTCATGTTCTTGGTTCATTTTTGCATCTCCCTGGTTCTCCGAGTCTAGAGAATTCAAGTTTGGAGTTCAATTCATGAATCAGTGAAGCAGTGGCGACATTCAAGGGTTTCAAGAATGGAGTTCTATTTCAAAAGGACTAAAGGAGACAAGTCAGAAAGAATGATGTCGATAGGGGAAGAGCAACAAATGTGGATCAATTTTTTTCCCGATTTAGGTTTCGATTTAAAAGAAGACTTAGAGTTCGATTCCTATCATTTTAGGGTTTTAATGTTGGAGTTTGATTTAGATCTCGAGGAAATTATTAAGTTTATTTTTGTTTCATGAATTCTTTGACTAACCATGGTAGTTTTTGGTTTGAAATCTATTTCACGGATTTTCAAGGTTTTTTATACGGATTTGAAAGACAGAATGGTGACGTGGGTAGGAGATAGATGGTGCTAGTGGTTGATGGGGTTTCATAGTGGTGCATGGTGGTAGTGTTGGCAATGTTATGTGGTTTTGTTGAATGCTCTTCAAACAATCATAACCTATATATCAATAAATCTATTAATAATCATATAAATTGTAAGAATTGATTGAAAAATTAAGAAAATTAAAGGATTACATATTGTGAAAGGATTTTAATGAAATATGTATATGCAACTTAGAGTCAGAGTGGTGAATGGAAAATAAGGATGAGTGTCCAATGGATCCGATTTATCTTTGTTATTTATTTGGTAGATTTCGATACCATTGAAGATGGATCATCTTTTTTTTTCAAAAAAAAATAATTTTAATAGAATTATCCATGTAGATGCCATTCAACTCCCCATAGACCTATTATTATGATTCAAAGGCCAATTAGATTGCACAGTCAGCAGAGTAACCGATTTATCCCTTCAATTTATCAGGAAAGGTGTTTTTGATACTAGTTATCTAAGTTTAAAATCCTAGATTGCCCAAAAAATACATCAAGAACCTTTTAAACCTAAACTCAGAAGGTATGTTCGGTTATAGTGACATTGACCTAGAAATATCATAGCAAACCTGTATATTTAATAATTAAAACCATGACATTCATACCTTTTTAAAATGGGAGCCGATTCATATATAACAATTTTATGACATCGACAACAATTTATGCTTTAGATAAGTTCTACAATATGAAAATAAATAAATAAATAAATCATCTCATTGTTTTGTATGGCAAAAAATGTTGTATACGAATCAACTATCTTTTAAATATTATGAGGGGTTAATACTCTCTTGCAGTGCACGCACAAGGTTCACAAACACAAACCTAGAATTAATAATCTTTAATATAAATGATTGCTAGTAATTAGGATAAGTCAAGTATGGTTAAACAGTAATGACTATTAATAAATAACTTCAACAAAGTATTCAAGAAGATTAAGTAAAACAAAGTATGATTAAAGTATAGTAATTAAAAAGTTAAGAAGAAGAAGAATTTAAAAGAGAAGATTAACAAAAATCTGAACGAGAATTGAAGAATTCTATTGAAGTGATATATGAAAAGTTGCATATTCTTATACATGATGACACCCTTTTTATTGGCTAAGGAGTCAATTAAAGAAAAATACATAGAATAATGAGAAACTTACATCAGTAACCAAAATCCTGATAAAGTGGATTTTCTCTAATCCTAAGTAATACTAAATATGGAATAAGAACAAAAAAACTTTCTTCTTGTCAAGCAAAGTTAAATAGGTGTGAATCCAAGGAGTTACTAAGCTTGTCATCTCGGAATTATCCTCTTCATATTGGAATCTTCACTTCTCATTCACAACAGCATTCCAACTCGGAAAGAAAGAGTGATCTCGTAGTCTTGACATCTTGGATAAGAAAGCTATCTTAAAATTATCTTCTTCTTGGTTGAGAAGTGATTTCGCAATCACTTCTCCATCTTGGAATTGCTATGTCATCTTGAAATCTCTTCATATATTGGATTGTCTAAGGAACGCTTTCGGGTACTAATAATCTCCCCACTAAGTGTCCTTAGTAGTTTTATTTCAATTCTTCTTAATTCAAGGAGATTCCTTTGCCTTTATCTTTGGCATGAGGATCCATAAGGATGGTAGATGAGATGACTTGTTGACCGATTGAAGTGATAACTAGTTCCGAGGGAGAATAGATCAAAGGCTCCTCAGGTAGGTCATCTAGTTTTGTGGTTGGGGGATCATCATCAACCGGTGCAATTTTTGGAGCAGGAACAGGATGAGGAGTTGGTTGAGAAGCTTGGTATGCATCATTCGCTATCTTTAGTTGAAGTTCAACCTTTTCTATGCTTCGTTTAAACTAATCGAGAAGTTTTGATGGCCAACACACATAGGACTTGTTTATCGTTTTGTCTTCCGATAGGATTTGTTCATTGATTGCTTGAAGTCCAAGAATCGCATTCTGCACCTGATTGTTCTCATTACTTTCTTCTTTACTTTCGCACTCATCTTCAACAACCACGTCTTCAGCTGCAAATTCTTTAAAAAATTCGATATCATCATCATTGTTAGGGCTAAGATCCTCAGTCATATCTAGGATCTCGGGTCTCAAAGATATCTAAGGATCCTTAGACCTATCCAGGATCCCGGATCTTAAAGGAGTCTCATGATCCCAAACATACATCTGGATCTTGAACATTATTATTATTATTATTATTATTATTATTATTATTATTATTATTATTATTATTATTATTATTATTTAAGCTATCAATTGCGCGCTATAGTGGTGCTATAGCGGCGCTATAGCGTTTTGTGGATGTCAAGAACCGTTATTTTCTGTTTAGCGTTTTCATTTCGCGGTACCGCTATTAGCGGCGCTATTCACCGCAATTTACCGCTATTTCAATAACCGCTATAGCGGCGCTACGGGCGCTATTCCATTTTTGTTCACATTTTTGGCCATTTGGTTACTTTTTTCAATGAAAAACTAGTCTTAATAATCTCACTACACTTTCATTTTAAAAATCCCGAACAAATAACATAATTAAAAGCATTCAAAGCAACTACGTCTACCGACAACTCTTTTTCTCATCTCTTTTTGAACTCACGCCAACTTGAGTTGCCATGGTCACACTCCATTAATGCTTTTTGTAAATTGATCCACGCCTATGAGGCCACGACTTGGGACTTAACTCCTTAAATCAACCATGGCCTACTAATACGATATTGAACCCATGCAATCCAATTAAACTCTATTTGATACTTTTACACTACCTAGTTTCCATATTAATATAATAGAATATTAAGTTATGTTTTTATATGACTTTTTAGGTTTGATGATATTAATTCTATATAGACTTATAGTATTAATACTCAAATATATAAATTCTATATAAATATAATATAAAATTATAAATTATACGTAATATTAAAAAACCGCTATATCACCGCTATACCACCACGATAACCGCGATCTTAAATAGCGGCATGTGATCGCTATTGAAATTTTGACCGCGATAACTGCATAGATTATTATTATTATTATTATTATTATTATTTCATAACAAGTTTAACGGTTATATTTCTTATTTATTTCTCGCACATGCAGAAATGGTAAACATAAGACTCATTCAAAATGAAGAACCACTTCAAACAGGCTTAAAACCCGAGAATACCAAGTCAAAGAACATTGCAAATACCAGTTCAACATGATCTCGGAAATATCATACTTTTAGTTACTTAACATAGAATATATATACACACCTGTAAAACACACATTGTGGGAACAATCTTCATATACCTTGGACACCTTAAATTACTGAAACATTTGTATATGCATCTTCATCATTTTTCTATAATTTTCATCCAAATCAATAAAATCAAACAAGGTATGTGATTATTATCACCTCCCAATGTTTTACGTTGGAAATCCTATTAAGGATCAAGGGTTTTCCTTGTAAAACACTTGTGCAACATTGTTCTAATTTCATTAGTCACTTCAACCACAACACCACAACCTCTCATAAAATTTGGTTGATCTTCATTTGGCTGATTTTTTACCAAAACAATTTGGCAACCGCCATGGGGTTGTGGTGTTCATAATTATCGAAAATCATGTCTACACAACCAAATAATCTTCTTCCTCTAGTCCTCCCATTTCAGAATCTTCCACCACCTCTAAAAATACCTCCCGGTGAGAGGAAACTCCATATACCTCTAAAAATAACACCTCCCTGATCACGAGCCATGGGAATCCAGGAAACATGGAATTCCATGATCCTCATGTTTCTATATTTAACAGAGAACTCTTATCCATGGTGAAGATGGTAAGGAAACAACTGAATCAACAATAGGAGGACAACAGAACACTGTTCAAAGAAATGGAAAGATTAAGAGAACAAATCTACAAACCGTGTGAAATAACACCTTCGATTTTGCAACCTAGGATCCTCGGTTTCGACAGCGCAGGATCCCTAGGGAATAGACAACATAATACAACCTCGACACCTGCTGTTGCTTCAACTTGGGGATAAATAGCAAATATTCAAATCTATATGATTCAGGATCCTAACGAAACCTTCACTACCCTTAAAAACCAAGACATTGGTAACTTACTAAATAATAATGCATTTAATACTAACTATGAGGAACTTGATGCATGTATAAAGTCTTATCATGGATAACGAACTTCAATAACTAAGATAGATGATCTCAGGTATAAAATAAATAGTACAACCTATACCATAAGCATCCCCCAAGCTACAGGATCTCGAGATTTTCTCCCGCAATTTCTGTTTACCACCAGCTTCTCCTCCTTGTATCATGGTAATTTCGGCATCATATACTTGTGTTTCTTCTTTCTCTAGGGTATGCTCTCCACCTATCTAGAGTGATCGATTTTTCACTTTTTCCTTTTTCAAGCTCTCACAGTCCCCAGTTACATGACCCATTTTTTTTTGGAAATCAATATAACTATTCATATCCAAAAAGATATTTTCTATTTATGTCGGTATTACTTCCCTTGTTCGGGCTCCTAAGGGTGTACGCTTCATAAGTCTCTTGTCGATATGGTTGAAAGCGATCATGTTTCCTGCCCTTACCCATGTGCTAAAATCTTTGGTTATGACCGAACCGAGGGATATTACCAGCAAAAGATGCATGGTATAGTCTGGCTCGTTCTTCTCATCTCCCTCCTTTTGCTACCTTCTTTTCTTTCATCATCGCCTTCTCTTCACTCTCTACCTCTTACCTTAGGAATCAGTTAACTTTGTGTAACACCGTAAATTCTCAAACAAAATTTTCATTTTAAAATCATGTAAATCTCATAACCCGTTACAAAAATCTCATTGATTTAAATTACAAAATGCAACTCCATAATTGTCTGATTAATACTCCAGGATCCTCAAAACATAAATCCTTCTCCGGTATATACAATCGAATCGGTGCCTTCCTACGATCCGGAGAAAAACCTGAAACACATATCACATAACATGGTAAGCACAAAGCTTAGTGAGTTCCCCAAAATACCACATATAACCCATTAGCCACTCGAGGCTATAACTTTATAAGACCCTCTTGTAATTGTGTCTCAGTGAGACCCTCCAGTCCCACAACTCTAATGAACCCTCTGGTCCTGACTCTATGGACCCTCCGGTCCTAACTCTGATACTCATAATATTACATGGCATAAATCATACAATGCGGGATATCACAATACTCAAATAAACACATAAGATCAACATATACATAGACTACTATAACATCATAAATCACAAAGACAGTACACACGATAACACATTATAACAAATAAGACCCTCCGTTCGATAATGTACTAAGACCCTCCGGTCTGTATGTAGTGAGACCCTCCAGTCAATAATGTACTAAGACCCTCCGGTCTATATGTACTGAGGCCTTCCGGTCAATAATGTACTAAGACCCTCTGGCCTATACTGAGACCCTCCGGTCAATAATGTACTAAGACCCTTCGGTCTATATTTACTGAGACCCTCCAGTCAATAATGTGAATAAGACCCTCCGGTCACACACAAAACACCATACATATAAATATAGTAAGAAGACTCACCTCGGATGGCGAACAGATCCTATAAATGTTGTTGTTGTACTTCAGCCTCTAACACTAAGTCAAACCAACAATTAACCTCATTAGGATCTAAGACCCAACCTTCACATATTAGGTTTAAAATTTGGTTCACCAACTCGGCCTATAAATAACCCAATCCCATTGGGCCCACCAAGGCCTAATACCAAATGAGTCCACAAAAGTCCACTAATGACCCAAGTATGGCCCAATTTTCCAAATTGGGCCCAAACCCTTATACGGGCCTTACCCAAAAGCCTATCTAATTACTCTATTCCACATGATTGCTCATGGATAGCCCATCAATAGCCCAATCACCAAAGTGCAATAGAAAGGCCCAACTTAAGGCCTAAATAAAATTAGGGTTTTCACATGAAATGACAATTAGGGTTAAGTGTTTCTCACTTAACCCATTAAGGACTTAACCCATTAAGTCCATCACTCCACTAGGCCATTCATACAATGAAGTCAGACATAATTCACAATATCAATTTAACAGTCCAACCGCGAGTCCCGGTAAAAATCCAAACTGAGAAACCCAAAATTAGAGTTTTCTAAACCCTAATTAGGCTTTCTAGCCCAATCACAAAGCAACCCAATCCAAGATTAAGCATTGGGCCGATTAGGGTTCACTATGCCAAGCACCACCCACAACCACCTCGGGTAGTGGTGGTCGGTGGCGACTTACGGCGGCAGGTGGTGGCAACCACCATTTCCAGTGGTGGTGGTGGTTATTCCTGCCCATAATTTGCACATACCACATAACACATAATATACATACACACATATCCACCTCCCACGGTGTCTAGTGGCGGCCAAGGGTGGCAGAAAGACGACAATGAGTAGCAGCCACCACCTCACGGTGGTGGTAGTGGCTTCTCGATCACAAATACACACAACCCACACCATAATAACCAAAAACAACCATCATAGACAAACATATACACATTCAGCCACCTCGTAAGCGACAGTGACGTCGCCGACGTCAAACCTACAAAGAACGAGAGAAAAAGGGAGCAAGGGTGGGTTACCGGTGGACTAACCATGGGTTTTTAGTGACACACAACCCAAACATTGACGTATCTCCCGGATGATCTCGTCGTCGCTGGCAGCAGGTTGTGGTGGCGGTGCTTCAACAGAACGGTTGCGAACAGTGGATGACACAACAATGTGGTGGCCTTAAAGAGCTCCATGGTGGCGGCTGATGAATATTGGTTTAGGATTCGTATGCTCTAGCGAGAGGGAAAAAGGAGTCACCATCGAATCCCGTTTCCATCCAAAGTTACTTCTGATTTTGACACTTCCAGTCCCTCCCACTTATAACTTTTCAAGACAGATCCCTAAATTACCATATAGCCCCTTTTCATAACAAATTCCTTTCAACCTTGGTACATAATTTACCATTTATACCCTGCCTTCTGGAATCCCTTTCCAATCAAGTCTAGAAATTACTCTTTTAACCCCCAAAATCCAAAATTATATCGATTGGC